AAAGAGATTGATCTTAGCTATCTGTTAAAGAAAAGAGAAAATGTGAGGTGAAAACTCTCTTTTAGGAGAAAATCCAGGAGTTACTGTAAGACATCAAAATACTCTGCCTTTTCTCCCACACTGGGCTGCACATAATTAAGATTCTCACACCGGATATTGGGATTAGGACAGTAAGATCACAGGTGTGATTTACTGTTTTGAATATTACTTTTTAAATTGTATTTATTTTTAATTTTAGCTAGAGCATTTTTTGGTTTTTATTTTATTTGTTTTTTTAAGATTTATTTATTTGTGCATACAGAACTGGGGTACAGGCCAGAGGTGCAGGGGCAGTGAGAGGCTTCACCAGAGACCGAGTGGGGATCAGAACAGGCAGATCGATGAAGTACATTGCTGAGGGGAACAGCGGGTGGTTCAGGAGAGGTCTGCCTGGCCATGCAGGTCACCTCTGGGGTGGGGATCGAACTTATGCTCAAGTGGCTTTAGCTTCTCAGTGCTGTGCTTTAAAAACAGCTGCACCACCAGGGAGGGCCCAATTTTATGTTTGTTTTTTTTTTAAGAATTTTTATTTATTCATACAGAACTGGGGTACAGGCCAGGGATGTGTAGGGTGAGAGGATTCACCAGAGACAGAGAGGGGAGCAGAACAGGCAGATCGATGAAGTGCACTGCTGAGGGGAGCAGCGGGCCAGTCAGGAGAGGTCTGCTGTGCCTTGTGGATGTCCTCTGGGGCAGGCAGGAATCGAACTCATGCAGAAGTGGCTTAAGCTTCTTAGTGCTGTGCTTTAACCCACTGCACCAGCAGAGAGGGCCTGAAGGGACTATTTTTTAACCCTGTGTATTCACTTGCCAAGGGCATTCAAATATTGCAACTTCTTGATCCTCAGTTCCAAATTATTACTACCAATTATAATCTCTTGATGTGATATTCTGATTAATGGTATCTCATGTGCTCAAGACCAGCAGAGTTACTATGTTCCTGGTTAGACGATGGTGTAGTCTGCCATCACCCATTATGGTCATAGGGTTTTTTCCCCAAAGATCAGGTTGGTAAATTAGAAATCTAAGAAGGACATGTCCCTTCATTATTTAAACTGCTATAGGAGACACTAATCCGTGCCGGTCTGTTCAGGATGAGAATGTGTCTTCTGAACTGAACCTCCTGAAGTGAAATCACTTTCAACAATGCCCGCCATGTCCTACCAATTTTTATGCCACTAAGATTTTACTCCATATATTAGAGCTCTCCAGAGAAACAGAAAAAAAAAAAAAAACACCACTGAAATGCACACACACGCACTCTTGCACACACATGCATATATACACATGCACACACACACACCAAGATATCTTATAAGGAGTCGGTTCACACAATTATGGCTTTTGAGAAGTGCAATGTTCTACCATCTGCAAACTGGAAAATCAAGACAGTCAGTGGTGTGATTCAGCTCACGTCCAAGGTCTGAGATCTAGGAGCACTATGGCCAACAGATCTGTCCCAGCTCAAAGCAAACAGGCAGGAAGGAACAAATCATTCTTTACCTTTTGTTCTATTCAGTCCCTCAACGAAGTAGATGATGTCACCCCCATAGAGAAGGGTAATATAATTTACTTAGTCTGCTGATCAGTTGCTAACCTCATCTGAGATACTCTGAGACACATCTAGAAATATTGTTCAATCTGGGCATCCATGGTGATTCATAGTAGCTATCACATTCTATAGGTCAAGGAAATCATACATTTTACCAGCCTTACCAGCTTCTAGGTACATGCCTTCTGATTACAGACTCAAAGACTTGGGATATGACAATGGATGATGTAATGGATCCACTGGATGCATTGAGAAATGAACATGGACCAGGACTCCATTTTCAACTGCCCCCCAAGTACCCCTTATGAAGGGCTGCCCATGATATTTTGTGTAGCTGATAGTGTCAAGCCAATCCTGCATCTAAGAGCCCCTAAAAGATTTAGGTATTCTCCTTTTGACATGGCACAATTATTTTTGCATGTCCTTTATTAGAATTATTTGGAAATGTAAGTTCTTGTGACATTGATAAGCCCATCCTTGTGGGATTTACTTTTCCTTTACCTGGAAATATATCCACTTTCCTTCTGATGTCAATGTGCTATGTGGCTCTTCCAGAATCTATATTTCCTGTTGATCGTGCTAAGTTCGGTCTACAGCAGTCTCTTCTACCATCAACCCTGGTCTCAAAAATGAGCTGCTCAGAAATTCTTAAAAATGATGGTGGGATGGTGTAGTAACAGACATCTGAAGAGCTGTGCCTCTGTGACCTTAGATCCTACACAGTACTGAAAACACTGTTAAATCTTAGAACACAGTTAGACCTTAAATTTGAATTTAGCAGAGTCTGCGCTCTGTAGGCAGTGAGGGTCTTTTTCATGCTATTATGAAAATCTGATTTTCACAAACTGCAGTGAATTGAATTGTGTCTGTAAAAATATATTCAAGTCTTAACCTGTAATATCTGTGAATGTGACCTTACTTGGATTTGAGTCTCTGCAGATGTAATTAAGATGAGGTCATACTGGATTAAGGTGGGTCCTAAATCCAATGATTAGTGTCTTCCTGGAAGGAGGGATAGGGAGGCTTAGAGACACAGACAGATTGAAGAAGGGCATGTGATAATGGAGGCAGAAATAGGGGTGATGCAAACCAAGGGTGCAGCCAGGGATTTCTGGAGACCTCCAGAAGCTAAGAAGATGGGAAGTTTATCATAGGAACCATTAGAAATGAATATACAATTCCAACTTTCTAATTTTATAATATTATTGCCTACAGTCTTCAAAAGATAGAGCCACTAAGTGTAAGAACCTAACCTACCAAAGTGAGAGTCAGTAACTGTGATATGTACAGCAGGAGTGGGACTCTTTTGCTGATATGTACACCAGGAATGGGGTTCTATTCCCCTGGGACTTCTCCAAGTTCAGAAACCCTCTTGAGCATCTGCTCACAAATCAGCTTATCATGTCACTCATCATAGTTCAGACCCCCACAGACAATGACCATGAAGTAAGTACTTGAGCACCTGCAGTTTACTGGCAGGTAAAAGAGTAAGGAAGAGGAACAGGGAGTAGGTAGGAGAGTAAGGAAACTTAAGAAAGTCAGTGACTATTGGGAGTCAACCCACTGAGGGAACTCAGTGAGCCAAAGTGGACCCCACTGGAGGGCAGTGGAGCTAGTGAATATTTGTACCAGTTCTCATCAGTCTGCATTTGAGGATGCTTCTTGCTATTTCTCCTCTGCACTTTCGACAGTAAGTGAAAGAAAAGAAGCTAGGCACTGAAGTACAATATGGGTGGGATGCCAACATTTTCTGCCAGATGAAATTATATTATGGATGTGTATTTAAGAAATAAAACTCCAAAGAGAAGTAAGGAATTGATGATCACAAAATGAGAAAATGAGTCTTTCCAATGTTCTTGAATAGATATGAATATGAATTATTTACCTAGCTCTAGTAGTCTGGATTTGCACAAGGAGTTTTTACATTGGCATCTCAGACCATGGAAGCATTAGTTATATTTTTAAGATTAATGGCCATGTTGTTGAATATCCAATTTACTTATGAACACATGCTAGCTAGCTAGGCAATCTGTAGCTTAGCTAACAAATAAAGCAATCTGACTGGTGTTTTAAATATAGACTTCATTGCTCATTCTTATGGCCATACCTCTGCTTAGTTTATTACAGTTTTTTTTTTTTCTGAATTCTGAGAATATCAGTCTTACAATCCATATTATTGATAGTTCTATAGCTTCCATTACTATTGTAACCCTTATTATGAAGGGAAAACTTTATAAACTATATTTGCCAAGGAGGTTTGTCTATGTGAACCCACTATTCTCTCTCTCAATGAAAATGTAATGTTTTAGATATATTGTTTGTTATAGAAAACAACCACACTATTATTTAAAATTATTTATTTATTTACTTTTTGTTGGAATAACCTTGGTTATGATTCAGAGGTATCAGGTACTAGGATTACACCCCTTCAAATGTATGTTACTAAACCACACCCACCCCCAAGGCACCCATAGAACTGCTCTTAACAATGATGATAATTATAATGAAGATATTTGCATAGTGTTTACTATCTGCCAGGCATATTTTTAAGCATCTTGCCATAGTATCTCACTTAATCTTCACATTAACTCAGTGAATTGGGTTCAGTTTTGTTCCCATTTTATACATGAAAAAAGTGAGACAGTTTAGAGTTAAATCACCAGCTATCAAAGCATAAGAAACACAAGTTGAAATAGTTTGTATCACAAGAGACCAGTTAGGGACATGTAACCAAAGCACAGAAAACACTGGGAATGTGGAGACATCAACAAAAAAATAGGCTCACAGCTTTGAAAAGTGAGATGATTCTGTCTCGTCTCCTTTTGAAATTTTTGAAATTTAGAATTATAGATAGTCTCTCCATTTGGGTTTTGCTGAAAATTCTGAAAAATTCCATATTATGTATTTTGGGTAGTGACCTTTTCCCAGGTCACAGATGGCTATCTGTAGAATAGTAAAGGTTTTATGAGGAAATGGAATGAAATACTTGTTGATCAAGGGTAATCTCATTGCTCTTGACAGGTGATGTAGCAGAATAACCAAATGCTTATTCTGAAGAAATCTAAATTAAAAAAAAGTATTCGATTGAAAGGTATAGCAAGAACAATACAAAGAGAAAGAGAATAACTGTTTGTATGCAATGTCAGAACACCCAATGGTGATGGAAGATTTGCCAGCATTTCAGTGGGCTGTTATTTGAGTAGCTATGGAACAAAACAGTATTCAGATCTACTAGAGGGACTGTTAGCAGTGTTTTTGTTATTTGTGAAGTATGGATACATCGTTATCTCTTTTTCTTAAGAAGAGAGATTCCTCTTGAGTCAAGGTATTATGAGCTAGCCAGCCTCTGGAAGGAGAGGTAAGGAAGAGAATCTTACTCAAAACTCACTTATCACCAGGTCCTTGCAGGATGGCCAGCAGCAAACCTTTTGCTTGGAAGGTAAAGTAACATATAATGAGCACAATGCATTTTCAACTACAGATGAGTTGACTTGGGAAGAAGGTATCTTAATAAAGGCCTCTCCTCTCCAAGATTTTAACATTGTTCTTGAAAACTCTCCTAGGTCAGGACAATAAAACTTCTTGGAACATCCCAAGGAAGAGAGTGAGGTTTAACATACTCATGATATATGGAGCCATTACCTTCAAGGTGTAGTAGAGGATAAAAAATGTACTATAATTATAAGGTCCACAAAACCAAAATACAATTGCTGTTTATTTTCTTGAAGCAAATCACTCTCCCAGTTATGGATTGTTCTGATGGGTTTATTATTGACAGCTGAGGTTATGACACAGTCCTTTAAGAAAAGAAGTGAGAAAGAAGAGCATAAAAATGGGAAAGGTGTCTCTCAGGTAGTCCTTCATATTTTAAGAAAATAGATTTGTAGTTGAAAAAAAAATCAGAAACTTAAAAAACTGGTGTTAGGAGAAGCTCAGTTTCCCTATACATCAAAGAGACTGGAACACAGAGTTGCTTCTGATCCTTAAAAGGCTGCATTTCCAAATACAATAGTTCTTTCTCGGGATTTTTTTTTTTTTTAAAACACAGGGCAATGTGGTAAACTAACTACATTAGAGTGACTAAATATTAAGGCATTAATCTTATAAAATTATGTTTCATTTATTATGTGGAGAAACTTCTAAATTGAATGATAGAATCAATTGCTCTCCACTTGGGACATACAAAGTTAATTACACCACAGATTTATTTATTTATTTTTTCAAATGAATTTAGTGACCCTGCATTGACTTGTCAGAGCTGGACTTTTATTGAAAATTCAAGACTCTGACAAATCAATGCTTTCCTCAAAGTGAAAGTAAATCACATTTTCTGGAAAAAATGACACTGCATTCAAAAGAGCTTTACTTTAAACAGCAATCCCTACTCTAAAAGTTTGATAACTGACTGAGATTGTTAAATATATATTTGCCTTGCTGTGATTAGTAATGTTTGCCTGGTAGTACAAGGTCGTGGTGGTACTCTCACATCTGACTGCTGAGGTTACTGGGCATGCAACTTGCAGTGCACTGATTTATGCTGTTATTTATTTATTTTACGATTTATTTGTTTATACATACAAAAACTGCGGCACAGGCCAGAGTTACAGAGGTGGGGGGGGGGAATGAAACAATTCACCAGAGACAAAGTAGGGAGCAGAACAGGAGAATCTACTGAAATACACTGCTGAGGGGAGCAGTGGGAGGGTCAGGAGAGGTCTGCCCCACCTCCCTGGCTGGGGATCGAACTTGTGCTGCAGTGGCTGCAAATAACTTCATAGTCATGCGCTCTAACCCATCCATTGGCCACCAGGGAGATGTGCTCTAACCCACTGGCCACCAGGGAGATGCCTATGCCATTATTTAAAAGTGCAATTTAACCTATTATGATGAATGCAAATTTGATTTTAACAGATTTGGTATTCTCTTGTTGGACATTAAACATTCGAGACATTTTTTTCTGTTTTGGTCTCCATATTTTCTTTATAAAGCTATCATCACCTTCTTGTGTTTTTACCCATTATTTTTATTTAATACTGTGATATCTATAACATATAAGTTAAAGTATATAATTAGTACACATATACTTGAATAAAGCAAGATATATTTTTTGTTGTATAATTGTCTTAGAAAAGGCAATTTCTGCAATCTTTATCTTTTGTGAATCTGCAATCACTTGACCCTAGGTTCCAAGAATTTTTTGCCTCTTTGTTTTTGTTGATGCAACTCTCAGACTTGATATACTGGTGTCCGTCTCCTCTATCTCTTTCTTTCTACCTTAAGTTCTGGTTAAGTCCTCCTGACCTGAGATGAGACCTGCACTGTTCAGATTCTGGTGTGTGAGTCATCTTATGACCTACATGATGCCGGTCTCTTAATCATTGCTCTGTGACAAGTAATTTAGCATTGTTCAGTTAAAAACTTAGAACTTGGGGGAACTCCCTGGTGGCCTACCGGTTAAGTCTCAGCACTCTCACCATAGAGGGCTGAGTTCGATTCCAGGTCAGGGAACTGACCCACACATGTACACAGCAGACCTCTCCTGTTTGGCCTGCTGCTCCCTTCAGCAGTGTACTTCAATTAATTTTCCAGTTCTGCTCCCCACTCTGTCCCTGGGGAATCCTCTCACTCTGCACACCTCTGGCCTATGCCACAACTCTTCTATGCAAAAATAAAAATAAAATAAATTAATATTTGTACTATAGTTCGATGTTTCATGTGTATTTTAAGATTAAATTACAGCAATTACATCATAAACTTTTGAAGGCAAGTATCACTTCTTACATCTGTTTGTGAGTTCCAAGTCAACTGACCCAATTCTATAGACTTCAGAGAATTAGTGTATTGATTCATCTAATGTGAAATAGTTGTCATTTTTGAAAGATTTGAAAAATTGAGAAGGTTATTCTTCCCATTCCTCTGCAAAATACAAATCAGTACCCTAATGTAGCAGAATCTTCCTCTTCTAGACTCTTCTGAACCAAGTTTATGTATATTTTCCTTTTAAACTCTAGGAGTTGAAAACTCAAATGACTACCAAGGACCACACAAACTGGGATAATAGTCCACTTGCTTTTTTTTTTTTTTTGTAACAGTTTATTGAGGTGTATATAATTCATATTCATAATATCATGTAAGGCTTCCATTTAAAGTGGACCAGTCAATGTGTGTGTGTGTGTGTGTGTGTGTGTGTGTGTGTGTGTGTGTATGGGCATGTGCATGTTTACCCCACAATCACTTCCAGGGTAATTTCAAACCATCTTCCCCAAATTTCATCTTTCTTCAGTCATTTCTTGTTTCTCCCCAAGGTCCTCCTCTTTCCAACATGAGGCAATCATGAAGCTACTTTCAATATAGATTTGTTTATTCTGGCATTTCACACAAATGCTATCCCACAATATATAACCTTTTATGACTGGCTTCTTACATTTAGCACAGTGTTTTCAAAACACTTCATTCTTTTTATGACCAAATAATATTTTATTATGTGGATATACCACATCTTGTTGACTGTCATCAGCTGACAAACTTTCAAGTTGTTTCCCAATTTGGAAACTTTAGTGAATGTTGTTGCTATGGATAGTCATGTACAGTTTTTATATGGACGTAGGTTTTCATTTCTCATGGAAAAGTAGAAATTTCTGGGTCAAACAGTAACTTGACCAGATGACCATCTGTCATGTGATTTCCAAAGTGGCTGCATTCTTTCACTTCCTCGCCAACAATAAATGATTGTTCCAGGGCGTCCCTGGTGTTAAAGTGCAGCACTATGAAGCTCTCCACAGCCACTGCAGCAGGAGTTCCCTCCCCAGCCAGGGAGCTGACCCACATGGTACAGCAGACCTCTCCTGTCTGGCCAGCTGTTCCCCTTAGCAATGGATTTCAGTCAATCTGTCTGTTCTGCTCTTCACTCTGCCTCTGATGATGCCTCTCACCAGCACCCCCCACACCTCAAACCTATATTCCAGCTCTTGTATACATAAATAAATAAATCTTTAAAAAGATGAGTTTTCCAATATTTCCACATCCTTGTACTTTCTTTTTAATGTGCCTATGAAAAATTAACAGCAACAAAAATACTAGGCATGTAAGGATAAATAGTGAGTTGATCTCAATTTCTGGTGACAACTGGGTCATGGAGCATGTGGAGTTTGGGGGCGGGGGCTTTGTATATTCTTCAAGCCCCCTTTCATGTGGTGGCATGGAGAGAATAGCACCTCATTCCAACTGGCTACATTTCTACCTGAAATGGAAGTGAGAAGTGTTAGGTTAGGTTAAGAAAACTGTTTCTGTCCACAAAACCTGCACTTGGCTCCTTTTAAGGAAAGAAGCATTAGGACTAGAATGTTTCATCTGCCAGAGTTCCCTGAGCTATGAGAAAAAACTGGAGTTTCTGGTGAAGTTACTGCAGAATTAAGTTTGTAGAGTGCAGAATCCCCCACAGGACAGACCCCTCCAAAGCATACAGTATCATCTTAGAGAACCTACAGAAATCTGGGCTACTCTACCATATGTAGGATGCATCTGTTTTGTCCAAACTGATGTGTGTGTGTGTGTGTATAGACAGATGGATCTTCTACTTATAGTTTTAATTTTACTAAAGTTATGCTCTAATGTGTAAAAATATTGAGATTTGCCCAATTGTCTTTAATGGCCATTATTTTTTTTTCTTTTTACACATTTGACACAGATTTTTATATAATGCTTTTGTGGAAATTGAAAAGCTTGCCTGTGGGTGAAGGAGGTAGTGCAATATGTCACTGTTGGGTACTTTCTTACATAGATTTACATGCTTTACATAGATTTCCCATATGGCATTAGTCTTATCAAGGAGCAAGCATTTTATGGGAAGAAAAGAAGCATGCAAAGCAAAAGGCTTTGCAATTGGAGCTTGGGTCGAGTTTCAGCCCCACTAATCCCTGTAGTCCTGGGATTCTGTGCAATGCCTGAGTTGCACAACAAGATGCTGAGTCCTTGGCGGGAGAGACTATGGGGTCAGAGCTTTCTGTTCTAGGGTGCAAATCCTGGCCCTGTCATTTATTAGCTGCATAACCTTAGGCAGGTCAGTTACTGTTTCAAAACTTGGGTCATTCTGTACAATAGAGATCATAACTATGTCACGAAAAAGGGTTAAATAAGATATGATTTGTAAGACAACCAGCGGAGTGCCTAGTTCACTCAGATGATTTTTTTTTTTTAAAGATTTATTTATTTGTACAGGCCAGAGGCTCAGGGGCGGTGAGAGGCTTCACCAGAGACAGAGTGGGAAGCAGAACAGGCAGATCGACGAAGTACACTGCTGAGGGGAGCAGCGGGCGGGTAGGAGAGGTCTGCCACGCCATGTGGTCACCTCCGGGGCAGGCGGGAATCGAACTCATGCGGAAGAAGCCTTAGATTCTCAGTGCTGTGCTTTAACCCGCTGCGCCACCAGGGAGGGCCGCA